TCCCTTTGGCCAGTTTGGCTGTGCCCCCTCCCAGCTTCTTGTGCACCTCCAGCCTTCTCAGTCGGCAGAGCATGGGAAGCTGAAAAGTCCCTGACTAGTGTAAGCACTACCTCGCAACAACTAAAACATCGGTGCCTTATCAATTTTGTTCCCATCCTAAATCCAAAACACAGCACTGTACCAGCTGCTAGGAAGGAAATTAACTCTATCCCTGCCGAAACCAGGACACTAGTCTAAGTATTAAGTAAATGCGTTGAGTATTTTTTATTTTGTTTCTTCGGATAGGTAGGCTAATTCACTGATTCACGGGAGGAGACATGTTGGAAAAAATTGTTTCTGTATCATCTTTTTTTTTTTTTTTTCTTTATTTCAGTGACCCTCCTGTATGTGATTGAGGGCAGCTTAATACCCAGTGACTATCAAAAGGAAAACAAAGTTAGAAATATATATGGGAAGAAAATAAAAGGGCCATTGCTTGAATCAGTGTTAGTCACCTGGAATGTTGCATTCAGTTCCTAATTGCCTTAATGAAAAAAAAAAAATATTGGGAAACATTTGAGGGCAATTCAGTGATTGGCAGCACGAAAACAATCTGGTTTAAAACAGCAGAAGTTGAGGCTGTAGAAAGCAAGTATGAATGATATGAAGAAGGTGGATCAACTGCAAGGAAAAATATGCTTCATGGAAGAAAGTTGTTGTAAAAGGCCTGTGTTTAAATACAGACACTGAAGAATTTATCAGGATTTGGAATATACAGTCATTCAAAATGGTAAATGAAAACATAAAGTTATATATGGGGTGTTTAAAAATATTTACCAGGAGTTAAAGGGACAAAAGGATACTTGATCTAAGCATCCTCCACTTAATTTTCATTCCTTGTTATCTTATGCCTAGTATTTCACAGTAAAACGATGCACTTGCATGTAATATGAAGTGTAACTTTACAAACGCATTTTTAAGAAACCTAAAAATAGGGGAGGCAGCGTGAAGGCAATTAAAGAAATCTTGATAAAATGTCTTGGTCCCTCATGGTACTACTCTACGTTTTCCCAGGAACCAGGAAAGGTGTTGTTAAACAGGAATAAAAAGGCAGGAAATAGAGATGTATCTAGGGCTTGCAAAGGAATAAATTCTGCAGAGTGCAGAGTTTAGGTGACTCCCGTAGTCATCTATAACAATACAAACCAGAAAGATGGAGCTTTAGAAACTCTCCAGGCTCCACAAGCCAAGGGGCTGACTGTAGACCTTGCTTCTGGGGAAGGGGCAGCATTTAAAACATCAGAACCATCTGAGAGGAACGTCAATATATTTAACTTCTTTAGCTTTGTTCTATCATTTATTTAGCATACACTTGCGATGATATATATTTAGCCTCAGCCTACAATTATTCAACTTCATCTGACACATCCTAGGCATTATTTTCCTGCGTGTACAGCAGTCCTTAACATCACGGGCACAGCTCAGACCTGCGCCTGTAGCAGGGCTTGGGGGCAGCTAGAGCTGAACAGGTGGCCGGCCACTGGTGGCCCAGCTCGTTTGAGAACTGCAGGCACTGGAGTCTCTGAAAGGTGGTTGGTGACGCGTAGGAGCTGAGAGAGCTTTCAGGCGAGCCACAGGCCCATAGGAAACATGCCTGAGCCACACAGATTTTTATGGAATTTGTTAGTTAGAATAAAAATTATTTTTAAAAAAAATGGAATAGTGGAGAACATTAAGGGAAAGGAACGAGGAACGTGCTTTCACTTAAGACCATTATTCTAATTGGGAAACGCTGGCTAAGAACCTTGCCTTAATATAAAACTCGGTAACAAAGTTTCAAGCATCTTTAAAATGTCTGGTTTGGTGCACTTTCACACTATACCAGCTGCGTGACTTGATCTAGAATGGAAGTTCCCTTCCCTCCTTCATCACATTCTGTTTGTTTCCTGCTAACATAAGAACTGCAACAGACTTTATGAAAATGTGCTTGTATGCCCAATCACGATGAAACTGGCCATACACAAACCTTGAAGGATAAAAACTGCAGTGCTGCTTTAGGCTCGGGCCACTTCTAATAAAGGGCTCAACGCGGTGGTAGGGAGGCAAACGTGAAGTTGTTTCCCACCGGGGCCTGTATTGAAAATGTGGTAATGAAGTGTTCAAGCCTGAAGAAATAATGATGCCCTTTGAACAAATACCACCCTTTGCAGCAGATGGCCATGAATTGTTTGTGAAATATGGAAGCGGTAGATACAATTGTGTTTGATTGTAACATTATACATACTGTTCTAATGTATGTATCTTTTAATTAGGTTAGTACCCTTGGATTCACAGTAGAGAAGTGTGGCACTGAGATGGATCTTGGGCAGGGCTCAAGCAGAGTGAGCGAAGGCTTTGCTGGGGCAGAAGCTGATCAGCCATCCTGAGGCAGTGATTGGTGTCACCGTGGCAAAATGTTTTCAGAGGAGGTGGAGCTGAGGCTCCTGGAGTAGCTTTTCTCTCTTGTATCCTTTTCACTCACTTTCCCAGTGCTACCTTGGAGATGTGCTGCACTTGGACTCCTTTCTGCAGTTTTGTGCTCACCCTAATGGTCCTACACATGTGCTGTACTTTGCATAATCTCCTTATAATGGTCCAATCAACATTTATCACCCTTGTGCATCTTCTTTAACAGACATTTTCTGTTATGTGTAACTCTCACAAATCACGGTGAGACTGGTTTGAGTGTATGATCAATTTATTAATTAGCAAGAAATGGCAATAAGCAAAACAGCGCTGGGTGGCCCGGGAGCCTCTGCTCCACCGACGACACACACCGGCTGGCAAAGCACATCAGGTTATGTACAGAAAAATCATACATATTCATCAGATTTCCTCTAAAAGGTGGTCTTATGGTGATGAGTTCCCGGAATTCATTTACATAGTCCAAGCATGCTCAGTAAAATTGGGGTTAGGGTCTTTTCACACTCCGGTGGTCGTCCATAGTCTTCCTCACTCTGTCCTCTGGTTGAACTTTGGGCTTCCTTTGTCCATATATAGTCGTTGAATTAGCTTATCAGTCCTTTGATTCTGGAATGTTACAAGGGGGTCAGTTTAACTAGTCTTTTAGCACTTACTTGACACAGTCATCCTGAGTTTCTATTGCCAGTGATCGGAGGCCTAATGAGCTAGCTCAAGGCCTGTAAATTCTGGTCAGGTAAGAATTTACATATCACTAAAACTATGCAAGTGAAGTTAAGAAAAATCACAGCAAGGTTTTAGTCAGGGATTGTCAGGGATTTAACCCTTTCATTTCCCCCATTTCTCTAAAATTTGTAAATTCCTTTACAAATATTCTGAGTTTTCATATTTCATTACCTTAGGCAAAGTCCAAAGAACCTTGTTAATATAAAACTCGGTAACAAAGTTTCAAGCATCTTTAAAATGTCTGGTTTGGTGCACTTTCACACTATACCAGCTGCGTGACTTGATCTAGAATGGAAGTTCCCTTCCCTCCTTCATCACATTCTGTTTGTTTCCTGCTCACATAAGAACTGCAACAGACTTTATGAAAATGTGCTTGTATGCCCAATCACGATGAAACTGGCCATACACAAACCTTGAAGGATAAAAACTGCAGTGCTGCTTTAGGCTCGGGCCACTTCTAATAAAGGGCTCAACGCGGTGGTAGGGAGGCAAACGTGAAGTTGTTTCCCACCGGGGCCTGTATTGAAAATGTGGTAATGAAGTGTTCAAGCCTGAAGAAATAATGATGCCCTTTGAACAAATACCACCCTTTGCAGCAGATGGCCATGAATTGTTTGTGAAATATGGAAGCGGTAGATACAATTGTGTTTGATTGTAACATTATACATACTGTTCTAATGTATGTATCTTTTAATTAGGTTAGTACCCTTGGATTCACAATCGGAGATAAAGTAGATGGTCCATTCCAGCTGGAGATTGATTTTATTGGCCTGCTAAACGACAGAGCTCATACAGAAGAATTTGCCTATGAAACATATGAAAAGAATCCTCGAGTCTAAGTTGGGCTGGTGTCTTTGGGACATTCTTCAGATGCTTGGTTCATTTTTATAAAACACTTCTTAACGTGTGGCTTAAAACAACTTGAAGAGTCTATGTAAACATTAAAGAGATAAGTGCATGAAGTGTTGACTGTAGTAATCCGACTCGAGTGACACCATTGGCATCTTCAAGCTGCCAAATACAGAGTCCTGGAGAGACTGTACATACATGGACTGGAACATAGCCTCAGGAGAGTTGTGATGCATTCTTACAAAGTAGTAACTGTTGACTGGGTAAGTTTTGGCTTCTGTCCTGAGCTTTACAGAAATAAAAGTATTTCATGAGCTTGTTGTAGTGCTTTTTTGTACAACAATTTCATTTTCTACCTTATATGGTTTGTAGACAATTGTAAAACGCTAATATCCACTAGTTTTAAACTGGAAAAAGTATGATGAGAATTAATACCCTGAGGAATGGTGCTTAAGTGTGACTCAGCTGCTGAAATTTACAAAGAGCAGCACCTGAAGTGGAAAAGGCAGAGGTATTTCAGTCTTCAGCTTTGGCCCCTCTGAATAACAAACAAACAAACAAAGCTGCCACTGCCAAGATTGAAACAATAGCTGTGCAGTGGGCTTGGCTTTTTGTTGATGATAGTCCTACTGCTTTATAGGGCTAAGGCTGTTGAACAGAAGTAGTGCTCCAGGGTTGGGTTGGGGGGAAACCTCCCATCACTGTCCATTCCCTGAGGAGGCACTCAGCTCGATTAGCACCATTACAGGGGAGATGGGATCACACGTTGCTGATGTGTGCAATTAGCTTAACTCGTCTGTATTGTACGAAGTCACAGCCTCAGCTGGCGGCACAGAAGCTCAATGCCTCCCTTCTTCTGAGAAGTCTGTTTTGAAGTGTTTCTCAAATTACTGAAAAGAACAAGTGCTGAATGGTTTCCTTTCAGCTGTCACAAACCCAGTCTAATCAAAGCACTGACCGCCTCCGCGGTGACCTTGTTTAAGTGTACTTTACAAATATTAAACATACCTATATTTTATATGGAAGAGGTGACAATAAAGCAAGCTGAAGCAGTGTCTTGTACTACCATTTTCCTCTTGCACGGAATTCAATAGCTTAAGAGCAAAAGAGGAGTGATGGTTATCACTTCTAAAGATACCAGCACAAATGTGCTTTTAGAAAGTGGTAGGCAGGCTAATGGGTAAGGAAAACTCGTCACAAAAAAAGACACCGAGTAGTAAATACAAGTGTGAACAAAACTAGCGCTACACTAAAGAGGTAGTTATACATAGTACACTAGATGATATAATCGGTGATAAACAAGATATACAAAATATTTATTCCCCCCCTTGAGTTTATATTTAAAAAATTGATTGTTCTTGACATTTCAGCATATATTTTTAGGACATCAAATTCACTGAAACAATTATTTGCTCAAAATTCTAGCTGAGATGACAACTGCTAAATTACCTTTCCAGTTCCATCCATAATAAATCCAGACAGCTTTTCTATGTATTTTTTAAAAGTAACAATAACAGTTTTTAAATCTAAGGTATTGAAAATGCCTCAACACTACTATAACCTCTTTTAAGCATCATAGAGATGAAAAGCAGAGGAATTTTGTTAACATCTGCTATTTACCATGGAAAGGAACAGAACAACCTTAACTGTTCAAAGCATCCAGTTGGCAATCTGTAAAGCCACTTTTCAGTTGTGACTTTTTTAAAATACTGTATTTTACAATTATGTTATGCTGTAAGCTTTTAGTTTTCCAGAGAGCTTGCACATTTTTTCTTCTTTCCCTACTACATCATAGGCATGCAATTAGAAATGCTGAATAATTACTGTAACAGTTGTAGAATTTAAGGATTGATTTGGAGAGCAGGGCAAGCAGACACCTCCAACTCCTGTGATTTACCAGTGGAGCATTTTGAAGCTTGCTTTCCAAGTGTGCATTCCAGTGGGTAACAAATGCATTCTGGTGGAGGAGTCTGTCCTAAGTTGCAAGGAGGCTTCTTGAGCATCTTTCTCCCGCTTACATTTTCTCCTTTAGCATCTTTTAGTTAAATGAAAACATTATTAAGCAACTAGAGAGAGTTCTAAGCTCCTAAAAGTTGAGAGCTCTCATCTCGTTGGAGAAGTTGATCACTAAAACATTAAGCTCAGATGCATTTTAAGGTCTCATTCAACGCTCTCTGGATTCCACTAGCCAATAGCAACCCGAACCATACACAGACAGCACAAATATTTACATGACAGGAACGGTATTTACAGTGATTTCTCAGATACTTCTTATTGCTCCTAACCCACAGATAGTCCTCTGCGGTTTCCGAGAGCCTGAGCCTTTTTCTTTTTTCTCTCTTGCTCATGTTTCTCACGCCGTTCTTCCCTGAAGGGGAAAAAAGAGAGACAGGCCATGTCAAGTAATATCAAAGGTAGAGAGACAAGCAACCAAAAGAATCTGAAGCTGGCCAAGGCTTAACATCTATTTAACTAGCGTGCTGCATTTGCCATGGGCAGAGAGAACAGTTCCGTTTTGGACTGAATCCAAACATTCAGGCGAATACTTCTGCTGGAGGCAGAAGTTGGAGGCAAAAATTGCTTTAATATAGAAGTGTTCTTTCCTGAACTGCATATTTTAATCCTAAAAAGACAAACGAGTCATCATATTATTTTAAATAACACTACTCATAAAAAGTTAACGGTATACTAACCTTGTCTGGAGATGCGGCTGTTTGTAATCTTTCTTACGTGAAGAGATGTTGCTACCGACAGACTTATTTAGGACAGTATTTTCTTTAAATTCTCCCCAAGGTTTTAGTCGTCCTACAATTTAGGGGCAAAAAGAGAGACTACTGAATTACTAGTTTAGTAATTGTGTGCTTAACATCTAACCGTGAATTTTTATACTAGCTAGCCTGTTTTTGTTGCTGGTTGACTTCAAGATGAAATGTCTCTTCAGCTGTATTATAGTTTCACCAGCCCATTCCCCTACAAATAGTTTTTCTCTAAGTAGTAACAGGTGATTGTACTTACAAGTAACACTCACCACACAAAATTCAGCTTCTCACACAACAGTGCACTTTACAAAGTGAGGCTTATTTTTATTTTATTTTTTTTAAAAGGAGTATCTCATATTGCCTGTACATACATCTATTCAGTGGAATACAAGGATGTTTATGGGCCTTTGGTCATAAAGACTTATTCTTCAGTAGGGAGGCTCTTAAAGCACATATTAGGTAGAAATTTAACATCAGTCCACAGACTGTGTGGGAATCCAGAGAGGAAGGGAAAGGGACAGGAAAAGAGACTGAAAACGTTGCTGTATCGTGGTTTGCATCAATGCCTTACTTTACGAGCAGCTGAGTACAAGGGCGATGACCAACACAAACTGCACAGGATCACGGTACCTTTATGTGGCTGATACCGAAGCGGCCGAGAGAGACTTGCTTGGAGATCAAATGTCTTCTTTGTGCTTGTGGGTTCTGCAGAGTGAGCTGCAAACTTGAAGGGAGTGATAACTACAAAAGGCATCAAGATATCATACTTAATTATAGCAGCAAGAACATCACTGTACACAGCAAGTTGGAGAGTGCCTGTGAAGACCACCTTACCACTATCAAGACCAAAGAGCCGTTAAATGCTACGGTCTGCTGCCTCTAAAGACAGAATTGCACTTGAAATAGGGAGCTTTCAGGTCTGGAGAGAGCAAGGGTTGTAGAGCATTAGCACTTTTGCTCTGATTACGCTACGCAGTAGCATATATAGCTCCATGTGTTTTTCTAGTCCTTCAGAGCGAATTGTGTTCCCTAGTCTCTATGCTTATTTGGAACCAAATGGATTTTCATATTAAAGACAGAAGCATTCTTCCGGAACACGCCAGCTTCTGATCAGCAGTGGAACTTTTCTTTCCCCCTAAAAAAAAAAATCAGTATTGTCATACAACAAGACAGGCAGCTCTGGTTTCTTGACCTGTGGTAACATACCCGTGATGTTAGGGCATCAACTGCTAGATAGCAGAGCTGTGCTGGTGCAGAGATCGTTAGTAATCAGAAGACTTCTGCTTTTTCATACAGAGCTTTAGTTCCTGAGTTAATCAGGGTTGCTGAGGCTGATAATAACAGGTTGTCCTAAAACACAGCTAGAAGCCTGGTGCATGCCAATCCCGCAAGGAGAATGAGACCTCTGAGAAGGCATCGGGAACTCCTCTCGCCACAGATAACATCTCCCTGTACCTGTTATATGAATCTTTTGCTACGTAGTCCCTAAAGGTCTAGAACGATTTCTATCCCCTACATCCTATATTAGGCTTTTCTGTAGGTAGCTAGGTACCTATGTTTAAGTCTTAGCACCTAACCATTTTAGTCAAAACACTGGAAACCAAAGGAAACAAAGAAACTACTGCAGTTTCTAAAGAATCGGTCATAAATTAGAGAATGAAATTAAAACCTGGGTCTACATGACATTAGGTTATAAAAAATTTACATAACAATTCAATGAGACAAAGGTCATCATCTGAAAAAGCCAAATAATTACCATCCACTTTACCCTTTGATGCACTGAGATCATTATTTCTTGCATTTCCCTTGCTGTTTTGCCGACTTATTACTTTGCAGCTCTTTTGGCTATCAGGTGTGCAGATCTCCAAGTAGGGAGACATTCTAGATGGAGTCTTGGTAAGAGAGCGTTTATGCTCATTATCTTTTGTGGCTTCCGAGAACCTGAAAATTGTTAGAAATACAAAGACAAAATTAGTCGTCTACAAGGAATGTAAGCAACGTGACAGAATACAGAAGGTTCTGCATTCTACCTTTCTTACAGGTAGAAAGTTTTACTGTGTATAAGATGTTCACAGCTTATGCATAAACTGCACTAAAAACACCTTTGCTGACAGTTTTCAAGTTGTGAGCCATCATCAATAGCAGTAAGTGATATTAGGAATTGCAAAGAACTGACTTTCTTGTTATTTTGGAGAGCAAATCTATTTGGATGTAATAAGCTAGTAGATTTCTTCACCAACAGATACGATTTACTTTAGACGTGGATTCTGTAGTAAAACATTCTGAACATTATATATAAATATTGTTAATACGAAAATTCAAATTAAGAAAAACTAAAAGAAAATTAACTAACAGAACTCAAAGATCTACAAGAGGACAAAGCTGGAAATTTTAGTCAAAACACACAAGTTACCTGCATACCAAGACACACACGTGCTGTATGTATGTGTGTGTATACACACATTTTAACGTATATGTGTGTGTATACATATGTATATGTGTACATACATATAAACATATGAAAGAAAATTCAAAATCTTGCATGAGGCCTTATCAAAAAGGTACTGAGAATAAGCTGACAGCCTGCAAGATATGGAAAGACAGTGAGTAAGTGAGTAAATGTTGAAGAACGCTATGTTTTGAGGGCTAGAAAGTTTATGGAGGAAGTGCAGCTTGCACGATCCACCTCAGCACATCTCTGGACAAATGGAATGGAAGTGACTTCTAGACGTGTTGTTTTGGTTAACGTATTGCTAAGAATCAAGTAGAGCTGCAGTGAAGACAATAGAGGTCATCCAGCCAGAGGCAGAAGGAATATTGTTTTCATTTGTTGTTAGCTATTGAAATCAAAGATAGCACATTCAAAGTAGGAACAAAGCCAGTAAAATCAAGCTCATAATCTTACAAGGAATCCGTAATCTTGACCTTTGAATAGCAGAAAAACAGCATGCAAAAACTACAAGTTCCATAATTATTTATTAGGACTTGACAATATTAGAAGTCGCACTATCTGACTTAATAACAACAACCCACACACACACTTTAGTCCGAGACAAAAAAGTCCCAGCAGCTATAACCTTGGCATGCAAAAGTTGAGAAGTGAAGGTTATCAGAAAAATAGAAAGTAACACAACTGAGACCTGAGATTAACCAGATATTGTTAGCTGGGGAAAAGGGATATGGGTAAATTAGAGAATGTCTAAATCTGAACTTCAGTCACTATGGGAAGTTAAGTAAACTGAATAAAAGTTGGAATTAGTACAATAGTTAGAAACTGACAAAGAAATAGTAGAGACAAGGACTTTCACTGAAAAGAAAACTGGGCAAAAGGGCATTTATCAATGGAGTACCACATGGACTGTCCTTCTGATTCCTTCTTTTAAAAGGGTTTTTTTGTTCAAGACTTTAGAAAAACTAGTAATAAGCTAAAAAAATTTACCAATAACAAAAGTTCAGGAAATACTAACATAATAGAGCATTAGATTACTGTGTAGGAATAATGAAGGGCACGTGCTGTTTTAAAAGGAAGAGAGATGAGGTTTAACAGCCTTGAGTATGAGCTCATTCATTTAGCAATTCATCACGACTTTCTGGTGTCAGCTTGGTTCCCATCTGCTAGAAACAACGTGCTTATAGTAGTCAATCACAAGATGAGCCTCTGCTCTGACATGGAAGGGGAGGGGGAGAGAAAAGGAAGAGACAATACCCAAAAACCCCCCAAATGATGAGTCCATTGCAAGACTCACCTGAAATACCACATACTGTTCTGGTTAAGTAATCTCAAAGATAAATTAATTCAGATATAACAGAGACTATTAGCTCACCTGACAAAATGGAAAACGTAACACAGTAAGAGAAGAAAAATAATTTGGCTTGGCTGGTTTAGCAAAATGAAAGCTGAAAGAGAGGCAAGACTCCTCTACTATCAGGCATGAAAGTGAAGAATCAAGGTAGTAGTAGCACAGTAAGGCTTAAACCAGCCATAAAGCTAGGCTGAAAGTTAGTAATCACAATTAGTCTCATGTCGTTCATGTTTGGAATAGGAATAATGTCGTCAAATCACAGTCACTGTTCATTATTTCATGTGTATCATACCAAATTGCTCACCGGTTGTTCTGGTTTGTTCTTTTTACCTGACATTCATTTTGGTTGTTGAAAGGACAGAAGGATTAAATGAAGATTTCCTAGATAAAATACTCCGATTGGCAGCGTTCAGAGAACTGCGTGGTGAGCGCCGGAGGTTACTAGGAGTGCAGGTGGCGGAGAATCTGCCTCTTTCTGGATTTGGGCTGAATAAAAATGTTTTGCCACTGGTTTGTTTCTAGGGAAAAGCAAATCATGAGTTAGCACACTCTAAGAAAAATTTATCAGAAAAGCCTCTAAGAGGAAGGGAAAATACACAGTGAATTAGAAGCATGCAGTCTCTTCAGTTTTCCTCTTTTTTTCCCCTTTAAAAATGTATTTTAAACATCAGTAGTTTTATCATTACTATGCTGATCTGAAAACACATACCTTAGAATTGTTACGTGGAGTGCCTTTTTCTGATGCTCTTAAGTGATTCGATTTTTTGGCCAACACCTGCCAAAAGTAATTTGTCTCAAGTTTACATTGATACACTGTATGCCATAGAAGAGAGACATGTAGTGTTCAGGAGTTTCAGTGTTACCGTTTTGACACGTCCATTGACATGTTCATTCATATATTCATTGACACATTACTGTCACTTTTCTAAGGTCTGCCACACTCTGAAAGAGACCCTATTAGCAGCTTTCACCCACGCAAACGTGAAATACAAGAAACTGAGGATTGGGGCCACTGAGAACAACATGTATCACATATATTTTAAAGGACAGTCGTATGCAGTCATTGGACAATGGTTCTTTAAGGCACAAAAGAGGAACTTAATATTTAATTCCTACTTTTTGAAGAATAACCCATCCCCTTGGTTAAGTTCTGCAGCAATTCAAACAGTTGTAAGCAAAAGCTCCAGGAGATCCTTCATAAAAGTAATTGTGACAATTACTTTTACTCAAAACTGACAAGTTATTTGTTGGTTCCTATAACAGTGTGTGGCTATAAATAGTTAATATATAAAAACTTAAATAACTATACAAGTTACATACAAATAGCTATATATAACTAGTTATATAGGACTGCAGTTAAATTTCACTGATCGTAACATTCCACTGCATGTACACACGACCAGCCACTTACTGCTCAAAAGAGACTGGAGATAAACAAATACGGGAACAATGGATATCTTCCTGTGTTATCGCTTACCTTGACCTCGTTGAGAGAACTGCTGCAGTTCTCAATCACTTTTTTTTTCCTCTCAATGTAGTCAGCAATAGATTCCATTTTCTTGAAGTGAGCCTCGTGCAACTTTTTAAAGTCTAAGAAGTTCCAAAAAATAAGAAGAGTCACATATCTGATAAGCTCCTACGGAAGTTTACTACTTAATAGAAGAATCTTGCAACACCTATCGTTATGGCCTCAAAAAAAAAAAAAAAAGACATATCCCTCTAATTAAAGGCTGTGTATACACAGGTAACCAAACAGTATGAAATAGAATCTACTTCACCAGCTACATAGCCAGTCACCTGGTGCATGCTCCGCAGAACTGTAAAATCATAGAATGGTTTGGTTGGAAGGGACCTTTAAAGATCACCTAGTCCAACCCCCAAATTCTGCAGTTAAAGAAAAAAGAAATAGTTCCAAATTTTAAATGAATAAGTGTATTTTACAAAGGGATGAAAATAAGCTAAAACTTAGTAATATGGCACAACAGTAGTATTCATAAAGTGAAAACTAAACAAGCAGGAGTAATAGTATGTCTTCCAGCTCTTTGTTGTTTTGAAAATCATAAATGCAAGTATTATATCCAAAAGAAAAAGTGTTTGATAAACCAGTTTTATAACATACATGTGAGTCATTTACTACTATGAATTTACAAGTTCTAAGATATACCTTAAAATGTAACCTTCGGGAACTTTTTTTTGTTTGCTTGCTTTTTAAAAGAGAAGATGTTCTCTTCTTCAAGCAGAAATGGAAATTTGGACTGTAAAAAGCTGTAAGTCAAGTCTCCGTTCACACACAGACAATACATCTAGATGGTAGGTTATCTTACTTGGTGTAGTAGCTTTCATTCCCATTTTCCCAGACCTAGATGCACGGCCTGCGTATAAAGGGATCTTCCCTCCTGCATGACGAGCATCACCTGGTACAGTAAGATTTGAAAAAATTGTTAGAACTACTGGAAAATATTTTAATGTCAACACAACCTTTTAAAAAAGTATTTGCTCCAAAACACACCTTATCTTTTCCAAGTGGACTTAGGTTTTGAGAAATAAAAACATCAGCTGGAATAGACATGTCCTAAGTCTCTCAAAAGCCTTTTAAATGGTATGTCAGTAACAGCATCTTGACAAACTACAAGCCCAGTGTGAATCTTACAGTCATACTGGGTTATTTTCTTTTGATAGTAAAGTATTTTACAGGGGAAGTTAACAAGAGAATTATGCTTGTGGTAAGCAAAACCAACTTTAAATTCACAGGTCTTGATCTGTTTAATAAGCTAGTGTTTTTTAAATATTGATAAAAGAAGAAATACCTTTTGAACAGCTTTTCTGCCACTGCCTTTCATACATACACAGAGTCTAAGTTCTTTTTATCATCTCTGTTCTCAGGTATAGTATTAAGCTCATGTTCACATTTTAGTGATCAATTTTATTTTATTAAGAAAAAAAAAATCAGGTCAAGTTTTCACATAGAGTTCAATATTTGCATATTGAAAGCTAACATTTGCTTTTCTATGAATTCACATCCCCTTTAAAGTAAACTTGGATGACCTCAACACATTGAAAGAAATCCTCACTGGAAGTAAATAATGGAGGGCTGTTGGGGAGGGGAAAAAAAAAATAAAAAAAAAAAATCAACTTTTCAACACTAAATGCAGACATAGCATTTTTCTGTCACACAGCTCTTACTGTCCGAAATTACTGAAAAAAAGAAAAACAAAACAAAAAAACAGAAAGCAGCCAGATACTTACAATTACAGTTATAGGAAGAGATGAGTACTGTGCCAACTGTCAGAATGAATGCTGCCTCAACCAAAGCATCCGCTACATATTCTATTGCTTCTGCTTTTAAAAGAACCTTCATTGAAAATCCCCATTTTCTAAGTTACTTTCAAAATTATAGATGGCCTCCGATAAGAATGTCCCTGTAAATTCTACTGAACAGCAAGAATATCCATAATACAGCTCGAGGACTACATATGCTTAGTCTAACAGGAGCAAGTAATGGTATGTATCTTATTTGACAGACCCACAATATCAATAAGTTATCAGATTGGGCAGAGAAATTCATTTCTTCATGTGAGCTGCATGCACGGAGGAGTGGGGGAGAAATTAATTCATATTTTCAGCGGCATCATGTTTAAAGGTCTAAAAAAGCCACCGGAGAGAAAAATGATCCACTGTAATACATTCAGATATTGTTAGGCTGTTTAAACAAATTATAAAGGATTCTGCCTGTAAGTCCTTTTCTACTAATTTTACTCCTGGGAAGAAAGTGACAAAGCCCGTTCATCTGTAGTAAAAGAAAAGTGAAGCATGAGGAAGGAAGCTCTCCCTTTCTTGCCACTTTTTAAGGGAGACGAGTAGCATCTCAGAGTTATTCCAAAAGGCGCTGATCCTAAATGAGGTGCAAGACTCAAATACACTCAGACCTTTGAGAACTCCTTCACTAAAAACATCAGGTCCAGAGTTCTGAAGTCAAAGCCAGCAGAATTCCTACACTACAGAATTTGTGGATTTGTGTTACGATATGTTAAACAAACAAGTACACAAACTCAGACAGATTTTTTCCAGTATCCCCGAATAAGGTACTGATCACCAGACATGCCACAAAAATCTTTGCAGACACAATAAAATAACCAAAAAGTGCATTTTAAGTAGTACAAATCACTAAACTTACTTTTTGGGGATTTTCTACTTACATTCATCTCCATTACTTTTAGTAGAAGTCTTCTCCGGTTGTTCTTTCTGACCAGTACCCATCCCTGGATTCTCAATAGCTCTCTTTTTAGTCACTTGTTCCTTGTTTTGGAATACTGTCTGTCCCTTTTCTTGCTCAGCCTGAGGCACTTCATTCTCTTTCATTTCAGAATGCTCCTGCAGTTTAAACATACTTCATTTAAACAGTTTGTTCCGACTGAATATAAAGAAAGGCTGTTGTTCCGAGAACAGTCAGTCAGTGGAACAGGTTGCCCAAAGAGGTTGCATAGCCTCCATCTTAGAGGTTTTCAATATCGGATTAGATAAAGCCTTAAGCATTGTGGTCTAACCTCATAGTTGACCCTGCTTTGATCGGGAGATTGAGCAAGAGACTTTCTGAAATCCAACCCGAATTAACCTGTGAAGTACTTACCCTGTTATTGTACAAACAGATCTATATTAGAAAGCACAGCTCTAACATTTAAGTATAAAGTTGCCTTTATTGACAGAAGTTAATTGTTTGCAAGTAAAAATAAATTCACTGGCTGTTACTTTTTACTATTGTAGCTTTGGTTACTGTACAATTCTCTATCTAACACTAACACATTAATGCTCATCATCTTCTCCTTTCCCTCCTCTAACTCTAAATCAGTAAGTGTCTTTCACACAGTTCTTAGTTCACTCACTACTTGCATGTAATTCTAGAGAAAAATAATTTACCCCCATCTCACCTTGAAACTTCCCCTCTCTCAGTCATACAACCCATGAATAAAGAACCCACTGAGAGGAGTGTGTTCACATTATGCTTGGGGAAGGGGGGGTGGCCAACACAAAAACCAAGCAATGCAAATCACCTCTTTCTCAGCAGAAAGCCCTGCATTTTCTTCACTGGTATTAGTTTCCTCATTGGAGTTCCTCTTTTTTCTGTTTGTTTTCTTTTCTTTACCACATCTTTTTGTAATAAAACACACTGAATCAGGCATAATTTCCTCCTGATTGCTCAGTTCATCCGATTCAATGGAAGCAGATGCACTTTTTTCAGAGTCCTGTAGCAGAAACATACTATAATGTGGAACATATCCAACACAAACATAAATTAGATACTCCAAAGAGACAGTTTCAATTTTATTACTGGAAAAAGTATTTCACACAGAGGAAAAACAATAGCATGCCATTTAGTAGCATAGTAATCAAGAAATTGGCAATATCGAGATTTCCCTAAACATCAAAGCTCATCGTTTGAAGACTTTAAAAAGAAGTCCTACAGTTGTTTTATTATATAGCATTTTAATAAGATTATAAGAAACTAATACTTTATATTTGAAATCTGACTTGCATGGTGCTGTGACTCTGCCAGATCTGTACATTTCTGTGGAATACTCTTCACCAAAAAATCAGAGCCTCTTCCATGCTTGTTAAAATTAAAAATAAGCTGACAAGGATTACACTAGTTCCTCAAACCTTTGAAGAAGATTTTAAAGGAAGCACTTAAAGGGAGACGTATTTTAGAAAAAGCAGATCCCAATTTACTTTCTATCAAAAATGTAAAAAACATCACCATACCCAACAAAATAATTCAGCTTACAGAAGAGAAAACTTTAAAGAAAAGTTAAGAAAACAATACGTTAGGAGATGAATACAGGAAATGTCACAATTGTGTCACTTCCATTACAGTGTCAGCGTAAGTAAATTGTAGTAGGTGCAAAATGCTTTCTGATGAGTATCTAGTACCTTTCATCTAGGCGTACAAAAGGAATAAAATATTTTTATATTTGGTACTGACTAGTGTCTGGAGCTAAAGAGGCAAAAATTAAGATTTGTTCAATGGAAATTAAATGTTAGTGTACACAGAGAAGAATTTTGTACTGATGCTGAAAAATACATCGCTAATTTTGGCAGCTGAAAGGAAATCAGCTGTGGGTCATATAGGAGGCCACTTCAAAGCTAATATTAGCACATCTGTTTCTACCAGTACATGAGTGCATTAAACTAAAGGCACCGTTAAGAAAAAAGTATTTTTATTACAGTTCACATCATGGTAAAAAACAACCTTCAGTACATGCCCTGCTCTACTAGTTACAAAGTTAGCTCCATCTCTTTTAAAAAGAATGGCTGATTTATCATCTATTACCATATTTTCATTTTCTTGTTTTGTTCCATGAAACTGTTGCTTCAGTGCTTTCAACAACTTGTCTGCCTGGAGAGAAATCAAAACAAAGATGAACCAAATATTGCATTAAGTCATCAAACGAAAAACTGCATAAACCCAACTAGCATCCTATAAATTGATCCAACAAACAAGCAGAACATTTCCTGAATCCAATGGAATAAGGCATGCCTAGAGCTTCATTCAAGTCAGTCAAATTAGAGAAAGCACTTAAGACTGCAGATAAATATGTAGCATATTCTCCACAGAGGCACAAAGACAAATTTCCCTGACTAGGTTTCTTCCGGTATGTCTATTTTCCAGAAAGTTTAATTGTTCAAGGATGAATGAGACTGACTGTTTTTAGCAGCACTGCCTAGCAGAACGTGAATTAAAATTATATCAAATTTCTGCAATAACTTCTGTCTTGCCCATACTACACACAAAGCATTCTTCTGATCCCTTACATATATTCAACAGTAACAGCAATAAAATAACAACAAAATTACATCATTGATATTTTAGGCTATGAAAGACTCTTAAATACCTAATGGGAAAGGTCAGCATAAAATCAAATCTGAACTAGAAGTTTAAGAACAAAATAACCCAGAACTAAAACCCCAAGCAGGAGTCTTAGTCCTGTCAGGACTATGAGTTCCTTTGTCCACCTAAATCGTGGATCTTCTTTCTTTTAAGGCTTTATGCCTTCTCCCACTGGTAGTGCAGCAGCCTGACTGCTGCCGAGTGATTTATTGTCAGTGCCTACCAGGAGAGTTCAGGCCACTGCCATAAATCTGTAGCTCTAGGCAAAAGAGATGGGCGCATGCTTAAATTTCTCGTTCTTAACCACGACTGGTAAACAAACACACGCAGTCTCGTCCCTTAAGGCACCCTATTGTTACTATTCTTCCGATTCCTGGTCGTAAAAAAAACCCTACACCTACCGCGTGGCGGGGGGTTACAGCGCGGTAACCC